TTCTCTCTGTTCACCGGCCCGCTGAGTTCTGGAGGGATGTTGTATCCACTGGCCTCGTCTAAAGCTGCTTCCTCTGATAGCTGAAACACACACACACACACACACACACACACACACACACACACACACACACACGCACAAAATGTAGTATTCATTTTGAGAACAACACATACACTTATTAAACAAATACACTTCATTGAACATGTACACATAGACATCACCTATATACAACATAATTGCAGTTTAACTATGTTTATATATAATAACTCTAATAAACTTGTAACTAATAGCTTTTAATAGTTAAAGCATTTAGCAACTAATAAATTTATGGCACCTAATAACTTCTGAATTGAATTATTTTGAAGTGTGCCACTTCATAACAACCATCAGAGGCCGGTGTATATTTAATAAACTCGTCTAATAGCGGCCTCTTGCGGTTGTTACAGGAAGTGTCACACATCAATATAATGGTACATTTATGACTTTGTATTTCACACACATTTTTTCATTGGCTCTGTACTTCACATATATTTTCAATGACATAATTATGCCCTAATTACACCTTTTTGTCATACATATTTATCTGAAAGTTATGACTCTTTAAGTCTTCATTCACTTCATTTTCATTTTACAGGGTAGCCCCGGGATCCTCAAAATGAAATTCAAGGCTTTTAAAGACCTTTTTAATACCATTTCAAATGAAATTCAATGCCAACTTCGTAACCATCCCGACAGAAGTATGAGGGAAAAATGTAAAATCTGTATACATTTTGAACTCAATTGACTACTTGAATTGAATAAAATATTTTATTTAAATTGTCAGTTATATTAAATACATACACAACAGCATGTTAAAAAACATTTAATTTTTAATAAACAAATAAAATTGAAATTGGTGCGGAACACTAAAGCCTTCGCAGCTTTGCTGCCTTCGCTGCAATTTTTTCGCTCAGACTCTCAAGTCCTGTCAACTTCTGCTTGTGGCTTTTCCTCAACGCGTTTACTGCGTTTAACGCGTTTACTGCGTCTACTGTAGAGTTGGTGTTGAGCCACAGTAAGGCCCCGTTAACACTAATGCGTTTTCGTTTTAAAGCGCATAAGTTTTGCTACGGTTACGCCATTTGTCCACACTACGCCGGAGTTCTCGAGCGACGAAAACGGAGCGTTTTGGAAACGCTGGAGAGGCTGTTTTCATTCTGAAACGCTGCTGCTCCGTCATAGTGTGGACGAGAAAAAACGGAGCCATCTGAAAACGGAGGCGGGGCTGCTGAGATTCGCTATCTGATTGGGGCTTTTGTGTCATTGCGTATCCTTCCCTTATTCGTCAAGCCTCTATCACATGACTATAACACATGGCTTTAACGCTACCGGAAGACAGTACTGTAAACAACAACATGGGCACAGAAATGGGAGCGTTGTTTGCACTATTGTCTGTTTTAGCCGCCATTGTGCAGTTATTCATTTGTTACGTTTAGTAACAACTCGACCTCGTCGTCTGTCCACAAAAATACCTCTCTTGATTTCTTTGCCATCGCGTTCATTGTTCAACCGGCGTTTGTTGACTAACAATAACCAAATGCCGAGCGAGACGCAGGCTTCCTGTTTATACTAGAACACGCATGCCCAGAGTGTGCGAATGCTCACGGGATATTTGTTTTTGGTAGCGTAGTGTGGATGGAGATATGTTTAGAGACGCTAGGTAAAGCGCTAGTGTGGACGCGGATCGTTTTTGATCTAAAACGCTGTTTTAAAACTAAAACGCACTAGTGTAAACGGGGCCTAAGATAGGATGTTCCTTGGCTGTGGTGGCAATGCTTCTAATGTAGAAATTAGAGGTGTGAACCAACACTGGTGTCACAGTTTGGTTACGATTATCCTGCCATTGATTCGATTCAATTCTATACCTCGGTGCATCATGGTGCATACACAGTTTAATTTTTTCACGTAGCAAGGACATTTTCACTCATCATGAGTGAATGTATACTGTGACTACGTTAAACAACACGTGGGAAAGAATTTTGGGAAAGAAACCGTGCCCAGGCCAGTTTCCCGGATCGTTTGAGAAGTGTGAGTGCGCTGAATCGGGCTTAGGCACGGTTCACTTGGCCGGCCCTGGCCCGGTTGGAAGAGGTGGGCCTGAGCCCGGTTCACTTGGGCTTTGGCGCGGTACACTTGTGTGTGAGTGCAAAACGCGCCAAAGCCCGAAACTGAAAGCGAGACGTGACTTTTAAGGGGCTGTTTCATATGGATTTATTAATCATTCTTACTGTTCAGTGATCACAAAACTGCCGTAGCTTATTAAAGACGGAAACCCCTCACTGCCCGACAGCTGCACCTTCAGCAGACCTCCTCATTCCTGCAGCACGAGAGCTTTATGATTGTTTATGAGCTCCAAAATTGGCGGATCTGTTGAAATATCTGACTGCGTGTCCCCGCATCCCTAAGGACTGTATGGCGAAATATTTGACTGCATGTCACTGCATATCAAACCACTGAAATGATATACCTAGAGAAATCTCCACTGTGCTGCTGAGTGAGAGAGCGCTTCTCACTGAATAGCACAGCAGCGATGACGTAAGCGTGCCCAGGCCCGATTGTAGTGTGAGCGCGGGCCGTCGGGGGAGACAAGAGGGGGGACAAGTGTGCTTTGGCCCGGTTCGAGGCAACTGTACCTAGTGTGAGCACGGCCTAAGATCTAAATAAACCAGACCTTTTTGATGACCCTGTTGACGGCCTCTTCTTCCGTCTCCTCATCGCTGTCAGGCGTCTGGAAATCTGACAGTCTCACTGAACAAACACAGAAAAACACAACCACATTATGCATGTTTAACCCTTGTGTTCCCGGAGAAAACCCATGCCAACACGGGGAGAACATGCAAACTCCACACACAAATGCCAACTGATGCAGACAGGACTCAAACTGAGTGCTACTCAAACTACAGTGCTAACCAATCAGCCACCGTGCCACCTTAGTTAAGGTTATTAGTAACTAATAAAGCTATGGTAACTAATAACTAGTGGTGGGCTGTTATTGGCACTAACGTGCGATTAAAAAAACATATCGCCGGTAATCTATTCTGGGAGCTGGATCTATTCTACGCAAGCTATGATGACTTTCACCTTGATATTTTAGAGCGAATGTATACCTGACCGGTGAGCCGTCTTTACAAAAAAAGCGCTCTTCTAAATCAAATCAGCAGGATGCCCTTCTGGATATTTCACTTACTTCGAAGTTCGAAGACGCTACTGACGTTTACATGGACATCTGTAGTCTAGTTATTTGCCTTAATAGAGAATAATATAATGAAGGTGTTTACGTTAAGTGCTTTTATGTAAGAGTTTCCTGTAATTTTGCGTGACTTTAACTGCAGTTCGACACTTTCACTTTTACTCATGAACATTTCATTCATGCCCCCGTGACAAACTGGGGTATTAGACGCAAATAAGGAGTGAGGACTGGTGAGAGTGTTATGGAATTTATTAACGCAGACTTCCGCATTTCGCAATATGTGTGTGTGTGTGTGTGTGTGTGTGTGTGTGTGCAGCCCTTTACTGACAGCCACGTGTGTGGATCTTGCGAGAAAAAATGGTGAAAAGTTATACATGACGGTAATCTTCCCAGTTGGTGGAATGAACTCCCTAACTGCATCAGAACGGCAGAGTCACTCGCTGTCTTCAAGAAACGACTAAACTCAACTATTTAGTCTCCACTTCACTTCCTAATCTGCAATTGCCTCTCTGGCTCCACCGCTAACTGTACTAAAAAAAATAAAAATAAAAACTTACATTACTAATGCTTTCCTTCTTAGACTTTACACACCTGAAGCTTGCCTACAGCACTTATTCATTGTTGCTCTTAGTTGTGTAAATTGCTTCCTTGTCCTCATTTGTAAGTCGCTTTGGATAAAAGCGTCTGCTAAATGACTAAATGTAAATGTAATTGTTTAATCGCTTGTTTACTTCAATAATGCCACTAATCTCTACATACTCCACACATCTTAATTCCATTTCTGTTTAATTCAGTTATGACTTTAGCCTAATTGAGGTCATCGCTGTTTGGAGATTATGTAGTCCTACAGTTCAACATTCATGCTTAACTGAATAAACAGTGAGTAAACACATGTACATCTTATTGAACATTATTTATTTTCATCCCCAATTATTACAGTAGAACAGGTTCTCAAGCAGTTTGTGATGCATTTTGGAAACAGGAGACGAGCCCCTGGACTGATGCGCCACCTGGCTTGAGAAACCCGTTTCCAAAGACGTACATTCAGTCATTATTTGGGTAACACACATATTCTGAATGCCTTCGGCAGAATTCAAATGAGCCATTTTAATCTAGATTAATTCCCAAGATTATAGTGAGATTAATCTAGAATTTTGGTAAAAATCTACAGATTTCTGCTGAATTTTTTTAGGAGTATCATAACTAAAACCTTAATTTGTAAAATAATAAATAATATCTTCTTAACTTTTATTTAATGTTTACAATGCAAATCTAATTAGATTCACTTATTTGGTAAACAAAGCAAGTCTCTCATATAATATCTCTACTAAAAGACAGAAAATATTACTGTTCAAACTGCATTGTACATAAATCACATTTTCACATTAGTCAAAAATAACTGTAATTAATGTAAAAACTGAATAAATATAGATTCACACACATTTACTTAAGTAAATAAACAGAATTAATGATGGGCTAAAACTGCGTGCGCAGAGTCCGTGTGGGCCAACTAATAACCCTAACTTTCTGATTTTGACTGTATTGCAATAATGTGCCCCTTTTGTAAAGCTGCCTTGAAACAAAAATTATTATGAAAAGCGCTATACAAACACATTTGAATTCAATTATAGCTTGAGTAAGTGATGCAGCGAGTACGCAGGAGAGAACGCACCACTGTCTGGATGCTGTCCCTGCAGTCGGGCCAGTCTGCGGGCCATCTCCAGCGTCATCTGCTGGCTGTGTTTGTCTCTCCGCAGATCCTCCATGGCCTCCTGCAGCACTCGACTCTTCTGCTCCTCCAGCTGCCTCCCTGACGCATCAGCATCGTCCACGTTCTCATTCACACTCGCCTGCTTATTCAGATCGTTCAACATGCCGCCTGCATCCACTGAGACAAACAGATCAGAAACTCAAAAATACAGCCAGGATACACAATTTTTCTACTAAAATTCCAGGACTTTCAAGTCAATTTTCCTGACCTTATGTTTGATGTAATGTCAACATATACGTGGTCAGTGATAAGAAAAACAATGCATGTTTAAATTTATTACAGCATAAACACGTAACAATCTATTTAGTTTAAATTTATTTCTATTTATTATACATTATATATTTATTTATTTATCATCTTTATAAGATGTATTTATTTGTTAAACTTATTTACAGGACTTATCCGGGCCTGATAAATGTCATGTCAAAATTCAATGGCTTTTCTATTATCTTATGAAGCCTGTACAGTGGGTGTTTTCTCTCTTTTTAAAGCAACAGGATTTATAAAGCTTGATAAATTTGATGCTGGAGAACAAAAAGGGGTATACTTTTGGCAAAACATTTGCATTGGTTACCGTAAAGGCTCATCCTAAGTTCAAATTGGAGCTGCATAATATTTTGTTTTAGCATCGATATCGTAATATGTGCATCTGCAATAGTCAAGCCATTTCAAGTGAGTTAAACCATTTGGACACAAGAAATTGTTAGGTCTGCCACTTTAACAAAGATGAACTGTTTATTTACAGAATAAAAAGATGATGCATTTGCTATTCACATGGCGAATAGTAAGTGTAAAAACTGAACGCTTCACTAGAGAGAAAACAGTTAAACAGCATCTGCAGCGCGAGGATAAAGAACGAGCCTCCTCCATTCAGCCTCTTTACTTTCTCTTAACTTTACTCTTACTCTTTACTTTGGTGGAGTAACGAAACGATGGAAACTCACTCCACTGAACACATCCATTAGCCCACATATTTAATTTAGTTTGTTAAGCGCAAAGATATGCTTCAACACTATTTCTAACTCCAGTTCTAATTTCCAGCAACGGAATAAATGAACAATAACAATGAAGTGTGGTCAGAATCCAAACACACATCCTGTTCTTATGCCCCATATGGTGATGCAGACGTCTCCAAATCCCCACAGGTGGACACATCTACACTTGTGTTTAATAAAACAAATATAAATATGCATCTATTAAATAATACTGCTAATAATATTAACATTTTACTACTGAAGATTGTCATGAATAAACTGAAAAAGACCCTCCTCTTGTTGTAGTTTCTGTGTGTATTAAACAATGTGTAGGCATTTGGACCTGCATAGGTGCATAACTTACACGCTCTGCGCTGGACTTTTAGTTGGTCAATGGCGCGGCCTTTTTCAGTTCCTTAAAATAGCAATGTGCCAGCAATGCGCCTTAACACACCTCCTTTATAGACTAGCACACCCATGAGTCCACAAGATGGCGCAAACGGATTTGCTATTAGCAAAACGTGAAAATTACTGTTGTGCTGGTCTGAAAATGGCAACAATCGAGGCAAACCCATCTTACGCCTTATTGCGCCAAGTGTATAATAGGGTCCTGAAGCAGGTCGCACACCAGATGCGACACAACACGGCATGCACATTAGTGATGGGTATTGTCAAGGTTTTAACATTATTTCTACTTTTATCGATACCACTTATTGGTCGGTACTTTAATGGCCCGTTTCCACTGAGTGGTACGATACAGCCGTTTCCACTATCAATAAGCTAACCGAACCAAACTGTACTGTACCACTTTTTCGGCACCCTTTCAAAAGTGTACCAAAAATGTGAAAGGGTACTAAAAGGTGGAGCTACACGCACAGCCGAATGCTGATTGGTTACAGAGACACATCACGAGCTCGTGGAGCTAGACAAAATGTAAACAAAGGATCAGCCATGTTCTAATACACAGCCGAGAGATTACATGGATATACTATATGCATATAATAACGAGCCATGGATGACCCGGGCTCAAACAAACCTTGTCATCGTCTTGATGAGCAAACACAAAGCCAAGAAGAACAAAATCTGCCGTGTCCTGTTGTTGCTTTACGAGCCTGTCTAAAAGTGCGAGCGGTATTCGCTTTCTTCCGGGAGCGCGCGATCGCGTCTATATTTGATATAACGAACTTCTTGAGCTGATGATAATAACGTGTGTGTGATTATTAAAGTGTCTCCATCATCTGATCCATTCAGAAAGAAAAGGACAAGCGCGAGAGTGAAGCGCGGGAAAAAAAGGAGAAGCCCGACAAAACACAGGAGCAAAAATGTTTAACAACCTGAATCATGAACAAACTGCCATGATTATCTTTGCCTTTTGGACTATTATGAACTTTGAATGACAAAATGACTCCCTAACAGATCTTACATGTGCTGCTGAAGATTACAGACACAGATGAGAGGTTTGCGCTGACTGTGGGCTATATTGTGTGTGTTTTTGAACTCAAATAAGTGCTAAATGTATGATGTGTGTAGTTTTTCAGTAATTAATAATAGAACAGAGACTGTAAGGGGTATTTATGTTATATAATCGCAGACGTTACAGTAGCCTATTCACCCTGTCATTCTTCTGCAGTTATAATCAAATCCTGTTCATAGAAAAGTTAGTAATAAACAATTATAAACAAGTATTTATGTGTGTAAAGTGTCTGTTTTGTGAGAAGTGCTTCTCATATGGTATGTGAGCGACCTGTACAGCTTTACTGTAGACATTTATTCGAGCGAGCATGATGTCGACTTAAACTTTATGTCGTACACCACGCCCACCAAAAGGGTACCCTATGTGGTGGAAACGCAAGCCTGATAAAGGTGACCCGTACCGACCCGAACCGTACCGTACTGTACCAGTCAGTGGAAACGAGGGATAACGGTTCTCTTATCGGTACTTTTTGTAGTGTTTTTTTTTTTTATGAAAAAAAAAAAAAATCATTGTAGCGATTTAACAGCTTTATTTTATTATTACGTTTTTAATGTAAAATAAAACAAAACCAATAATTGTAAAAAAAAACAACAAAATTTTCCTGTAAAAGAAGGTACAATGGTTTGAGGGAAAATGACAGGAGAAAAATCAACATGTTTGCCTGTTCTGGCAGAAGTCGTAATCTTTCTTGGCTTCTTGTGCTCCCCGCAGTTGAAAATACCCTGTTTGAGTTGCAAAATGCAGATAAATGAGATAATGTTTGTGATTTTTCATTAACGCGTTCACATTAATGAGTTAACGGTGTGTTGGGAGTTAACTGTGTTTTTAATACAGTTTTGGAGCATTTTTCAATGTAAAAATAAGAAAAATGTAAATAAATTTTTATAATTTCTTAAGAATAGTTTATTATTAGATGATTCATAGGCTATATTTGTAAATACAGCTGATGTAAAAGCATTTTAATGTTTAAGATTTATTTAGGCTACTGCAAAAAAAGCATACTGTTTTCATTGTAACCGAATGTGAGTGTTTATTAAACTATTAATATTATACTAATTTAAGTGACTGACTGCTGGCATAATGATATGGATGATGTAAAGTTAGTGGTTAGGCAGCCAAAACTTTGCACTGCAGTTAAAGATACTTTCACTTAGCCAGATTGCTTGCGTTTCCACTTATATAAAAAAACAACACAACTTGTTTGTTGCAACGGGCATTGTCGCTGCCCACTCGGGAAATACAACCTGTTTGGTTCACTCTGCAAGCTTACAAGTTGTGTGTGCATGCCAGTCTGTGTCGAGAGCTATGTGTGTGCGCTTAGCGCAAGCCTCCTTTGAGTGTGCCGAGAAGGTTTTATACTTGACGCTCTCGCCGGAAACACAAGCATTTCTCATGTGAGATTGCCAACGGTGCAGATGAATGTCAAATATCGCAAATTAGAAAAGGTGGGTCAGTTACATTATGCTACTGTAAGTAATGTTTACTCAGCAATAATTCTCCAGTACCAATAGCAGAACCGTTAACGTCAGAGCTTATCGATACTTCAGTCTTTTATAATGTAGCACTGATACTGATAAAGTACAGAGTTTCAGTACCCATCCCTAGTGCACATGACAGTTGGAAGTATCTCACACCAGACATGCACATCCACATGTTAAATTTTAGATGAAATTGGTGCTGCATTTTAGAATTCATGGCCTTGTACGCGACCCTCTTAACCATTTTCAAGGATCTGTGGAAATGCTGTATATAGTATAAAATTATGCATCGAGTTGTTTTGACTTTTGCTTCATAAAACGGTTTATAAAACTACCGTCTGAAGATGAATTCTGGTTATCAATAGCAGCTTCCTCCGTCATCTGTGTGATTAGATCATTGGTCTGTTCGGTTTGAGTCCTGCTGTCCGGCGGCTGATGAACCTGCACACATTAAACACACTGATAAAGCATGCTAGGGCATATTATATTAATGAGAAAATATGTAATATTGTTATAGAGTTCTGCGGTAATAATTATAGTAATCACAGGCCGCGGGGCTTGGGAAAGTGCAGGTCGGCCCTGTAGTGCAGCGAGACGCTCCTCCATTTCTGCAGTCGATGCCACAGGTTGAAGAGGAGCTTTCAGAGCCGCCAGACGAGACTCCAGCTCCTTCTCTGAAGGTATAGACTCTGGAAGAACACACACCGAGAAATTATATGTAAATGATTTTGGGGATTGTATTGTTCTGGTTTGCCTGTTTTTACAGATTCGATTCAAATTAAATTATCACTGTTTTTATTGTTATTTTAATATATTTAAAATATATTACACATAATATTGGGGTTTAGTTGAGGTTTAATTATACAGTTGAAGTCAGACTTATTAGCCCCCCTGTTTATTTTTTTCCCCAATTTCCTATCTGGGAAGATTGTTTCAGCACATTTCTGAGCATAATAGTTTTAATAACTCATTTCTAATAACTGATTTATTTTATCTTTTCCATGATGACAGTAAATAATATTTTACTAGATAATTTTTAAGACACTTCTATACAGCTTAAAGTGACATTAAAAGCCTTAACTAGGTTAATTAGGTGAACTAGGCAGGTTAGGGTAATTAGGCAAGTTATTGTATAACGATAGTTTGTTCTGTAGATTATCGAAAAAAAAAAATTAGCTTAAAAGGGGCTAATAATTTTGTCCCAAAAATGTTTTTTAAAAAATTAATTAATTAAAAAATATTATCAGACATACTGTGAAAATTTCCTTGCTCTGTTAAACATCATTTGGGAAATATTTAAAAAGAAAATCAAAATCAAAAGGGGGCTAATAATTCTGACTTCAACTGTATATATTGTTATGTAATATAAATTCACATACATTTAAATATGTAATAAAAAGAATTAGGTCAATAAACAGCAGTCAGTGTCAGCTCTTACTGGGTTTGGTCTCCTCCTTCAGCTTGTTGAGGCGTTCTGCAATGATCTGGTCTTCTTTACTAAGTCCTCTTGTTGAAATCAGACTCACGGCGTTGTCTTTTGCTCCTGCCGCTCTGGATGACGGTTTCTGTTGAGCTTGTTTGGCTTCAAAAGCAGCAACTCGTCTGTAAGAGACACAGATCAGTGTTAATCCACGACTTCAGCGCTTAAAATCCACAGAATATTCTTCTCTTCTTACTTCTTGTAGTTTTCAGGTGGAGACCATCGGCCAGCATCAGTCTGCTTATCTGAACTGTAAAAAAAACAGCTGTCATTATATGAGTTATTAATAGATTACAGATAAAATAGAAAATAGGGATGCGCAATAAAGTTCAAGACAAAATTATTAGCTCTCCGGGGAAATTTTTTATTCTTTTTAAAATAGTTTCAAGCACTGTTAAATGGAGAGAATAGAATTTCTCTCAATTTTTAAATATAAGTTTTTTAATAACTAATTTCTTATTCGTTTATTTTGTCCTTACCATGATGACAATACATAATTTTCCTAATTATTTTGCAAGATAAAAGTATAAGTGTGATTTAAAGTCTTAATTAGGTTAATTAGATTAACAGTCATTTGGCAACAGTGGTTTGTTCTGTAGACAATTGAAATTATTATTTCAATCATTCATTCATTAATTTTCTTTTCGGCTTAGTCCCTTTATTAATATGGGGTTGCCACAGCGGAATGAACCGACAACTTATCCAGCAAATGTTTTACGCAGCGAATGCCCTTTCAGCTGCAACGCATCTCTGGGGAACATCCAACACTCATTCACTACAGTGAATTTAGCCTACCTAATTCACCTGTACCGCATGTCTTTGGACTGTGGGGGAAACCGGAGCACCCGGAGGAAACCTACGCGAACGCGGGGAGAACAAGCAAACAGAAACGCCAACTGACCCAGCTGAGGCTCGAACCAGCGACCTTCTTGCTGTGAGGCGACAGCACTACCTACTGTGCCACTGTGTCGCCAAAATTATTTAATTTAAATTATAATTATATTAATCATTATTATAAAGGACCAACAATATTGACCTTATAGATGTAAAATAAAATAATTCCAGCCAAACTAAAAGAAATAAGACCTTCTCCGGATAAAAACTAATTTATATATAGAAAATATTGTGTAAAAAAAATTCAATGAAGGGTTAATCATTTTGAAAAATTATTATGGCAATAATAATATATGCAATATTTGTATCACAGAGGTGTGATAAATAACTAAATTAACTTAATTAAATTAATTAAATTTCACTTTTCATTGAATAGTTATATCTATATGAGTATTTACTAATATATAATTTGCCGATGGGGCGACACGGTGGCGCAGTGGGTAGCACGTTCGCCTCACAGAAAGAAGGTCACTGGTTTGAGCCTTGGCTGGTTCAGTTGGCATTTCAGTGTGGAGTTTGCATGTTCTCCTCGTGTTCGCGTGGGTTTCCCCCACAAGTCCAAAGACATGTGGTATAGGTGAATTGGGTATGCTAAAATTGACCGCAGTGTATGAGTGTTTGTGTGAATGGATGTTTCCCAATGATGGGTTGCGGCTGGAAGGGCATCCGCTGCATAAAACATATGCTGGTTAAATTGGCGGTTCATTCCACTGTGATGATGGCGCTGTTGTCCTGTGGCTGCCGTTGCATCACCCAAGTGGAGCTGCACATTGGTGGTAGTGTTGAGATGTCTGGGGTAAGATGGAGGAGGAGGCGTTGATGATGAATCCAGAGGATCTTGATGAACTCTGGGAGTCCTGCAAGAAGGCTTTCTTTGCCATTCCAGATGATTTCATTAATCAGTGATTTGAGTCATGTCAGAGATGTATGGATGCAGTCCTCCAAGCTCATGATGGAGTCAGACACAATATTCATTCTGTCTCCACTGCAGCAGGACTTTATATTCTATACTGGACATTATTTCTGTTCAGTGACGAGACTTTAGTCTGAGCAGAGTCAGACATCACTGTCCTAATCAAATCAGTCAACATCAAGACATGATCATATATATTGTGCTTAAATAAGCGTAATCCAGAGGCCTTTGCCTTTTATATAAGACACATCTGACCAGTGGCGGACTGGGACTAAAAATCAGCCCTGGCACTGTAGCCACACCGGCCCACATTACCACACCGACACAGCCACACCCAAGGACACGCACATTCACTACTTATATTGGTGTACAGATGGTAAAATTATATAAGCAGTACCTTATTTAAGAGATATTTAAACATTTAATGTATGTGACTGGAACAAAAGCAACCCATTTATATATGCAATTGCAATCATGTCATTCATTTTCTTTTCGGCTTAGTCCCTTTATTAATCTGGGAATCAGCAACTTATCCAACATATGCTTTAAACAGCGGATGCCCTCAAAGCTGCAACCCATTATACTGGGTTACCCAATTCACAATTGGCCTACCCAATTCAGAAGGAAACCAAGAAGAAAATCCATGTGAACATGCAAACTCCACACAGAAACACCAACTGACCCAGATGAGGCTCAAACCAGCAACTTTCTTGCTCTGAGGCGACAGCACTGCCTACTGCGCCATCACACTGACCCCTTTCGAGACTAGTTCAGTAAATTTTATGTATTTGGCAATGTATGACTTGACTGCATTTCCCCTTTTTTTGCACTTACTGTTTGTTTGACATTCTTGCCAGATTTTGATTACATCTGAGTAGCCTCAGATTGGGTCGGCCCATCTCGAAACCAGCCGGTTGTTGCCAATTGGGCCAATGCTTAACATTTACTATTATTCTTACTATTATCACCATCATCATCATAATATTCAAATTTCGCACAAGATAAAAGCTGCCTACATTTAAAAAACAATACATATGAAAAAATAAATAAATAAAATAGGTGACCGGCCCACATTTAAAAAATGGTCCGGCCCTTCTGGCATTTGCCAGAATTGCCAGATGGCCAGTCCGCCCCTGCATCTGACACCAAATGATCAAATAGAAGTCGAGTCATTATTTGCTGTACCTAAAACTTGGCTAGGCCACAAGACTTCAGTCAGGTAACGTTAGTGAGTGTACATGATTTATAAATTGATAATAAAATAGCACTTCTCGACTCGGAAATATTATATCGCAATACCGCATATTTCCCCAGTATCATGCTGCACTAGTATAAAAGTATATAAGTTATATGTTTGTCTTACTGACCTTGTTAAGTTCCCATAACACTGTTTACAGACTTTCTGCTGACCGTTTCCATATTTTGGCACCACAGCATTGAATGTCAGACAGCCAGAGCAGAAAGAACGACCGCAGCTCTTACATCCCAACTGCAGAAACACAAATCAGACCAAAACACTTACGAATAACACATTTGAATAAGATAATCTGCATTTACAGACGCTAACCTCCTTTTTGAAGAGAGTGAACTTTGATGCACAGCAGTAACAGCGACTATCCATACTGAGATTCCTCAGGGAAGCACATACACACGTCTGAAGAGGCCAGTTTGACGGTTTAAAGGCTCACGGTTATACATTAAGTACATACAATTATTATACGATGGGAATTCAGATGCACTTCATCAATCGCGTTCTTGAATCACAGAATGTAAATATAGGAAACGTTGGGAGAACCGGGTTGTGAAGGGAAATGTAGTTTTATAGGGTTAACACAACAATCCGCGCTCTACATTCGAAACTGACATGAAACTCAGATCCCCAGAGTGCAACACGATAGCCAAGCTGAAGCTGGCGTTGGGATCTAATATTTATATAGTATTCGAGACATAGAACAATAAAGAAAAAATCAACAGCGCTATTATAATGTATTACAAATACAAATGCTACAGTTTAACTATAAAACAACTTACGGTTTGAATTTCAGCAAACTGCCACGTGGTCACGTGAGCGTACCGTCCAATCAGATCCTCATTGGCGCGCTTCCGGTTTTTGTTCAAATGTTTTTTTCATCAGTGCGTCTGCAAGCAGACAACAGAAGAGCGAGAAATACAGAATAATAAACGGATATTTGCACGATTTTACTACATAAAGTCGTTTTTTGACGAAGAAGCGCATATAAAGGAGACTGGCAGAACAAAATGTAAGTGTTATTTGTTTTTGCAGGGTAAATTCGTTGATGTGTTTTGCTTTGCAGACATATTTCCACGTTGAGTACAGAAACGGCGAATTAAAGTGAGTTTTTGGGCTAATTTTCTTGCTATTAGAGGAAAATAATTGTTTTTCAATCATTTACTAGACAATCAAACACTTTAAGGTTACCTTACAGTAAGTTTATGTGTCTCATACAACGTTAAAGGGCACACATATTATGCAAAAATCACTTTTATAAGCGGTTTAGCCACAGTTGTGTGTCAGCAAGGTGTGAATATCTCCAGCCTCTAACAGTAAACATTAGTTAATTGTATTTGTTCTAATCAGACTTGATAAAAACAGCCAGCAGAAACACTTCGATTGACATGCTGCCTTTGTACATGTCATCAGAGGGGAAAGCCCCGCCCACTAGTGAGCAACTCCCTCATTTGCATTAAAAAAGGCAGCCCTGAGTAAGAAGCAGCCGTCTGTCCATTAGCCATTAAGCTGGATTTATACAGACGAGGCTTTTATACTCGCCGCATTCGCCGCTGTGATATTCTTTAAAACGACAGGGGGTGGTCAAAAGAAACTGACCGTAAAGTCAGACAGATAAACAGAGAAGTAGGAAGTTTCCGGAACTGTGTCATATCAATAATATCATTTAATATTTTTAAACTATTTTTTTGTTTTGATTATAAGGATTTTTATAACCATCCAGGATTTTTTTTATTTTTATCAAACTTTGATGTATCAATTGCTTTTGTTCATATCTCGGCCAGTTTTACCTATTAAAGTTTTTTTTGTATAATATCAATGACAACAGGAGTTGCTCTACAAATAAAAATTGTTGAATAAATAAAGATGTTTTTTTTTACATTTAGCCCGCTCCACAATTCACACATTACTGTCTGGCTAGTTTCTGTCCTCTTCTTATGCTAAAAAGGCAATAATGGTCCGACATTCCTGACCATTATCACCAATAAAGCCCAGAAAAACAGCCATCAGTATATCTTAAACTGATAGGTTCAAATATTTCTCTCCAGTTTTCAAAGCAATAATTTGTTCCTTAATTGTAGTTGTGTAACTATTAAATTGTTTTAAATTCTGAATTTTAACACACATCAGTATAAAACCTATAAATGGTGGAAAAACCTATTCTGTAATTGTGTACCCAGGTCTCCACTTTTGCCATGACCTCTTTTGGCCTTAGCAAACTCAGCCCTCAGGTTTTTTCAAACCTCTTAACAAAAACTTTCCTCATTTTCACACGGCTGTTGCAATTTCTAGCCAAGAATTATTGATTATCTGGTAAAGATGCAGTTCGCTCGAGTCTCAAAAAAAAAAAAAAACATGCGCTTCGCCAGCTGAAATCATGTCGGGCGTACCCAAAGTGAACATGCGCAAACTTTACCATGACGTCACATTCGTCGCGAGCACTCAAGCGAACTAGCGGACACGTCGAGTATAAACCAGGCTTTAGAGTGTTTGAGCTGCTGAAGATAATGTCAGCATAAACTCAAGCTGCGGTCACACTAGAGTTTGAGCATGCGAAATTCTGTCATACGGCGCTGTAAAAAGGGGCGGGATTATACACGTTAATTAGACATTTAAAAAAGCGAGCGATTGCTCCATATTTTAAATTTCTATCCAGAAAGGTCATGTTTTGATCTTCGATAGGTCTCATCTTGTCATGGTCACGTGACCTACATGCATCAGTTGCGTCACTTCACTCACATTCACGAATTCTCTCGGGCATCATGATATGCGATGCGCACTTCAGAATCTCGCCGGAGGTAGTAGGCCATCCTGGGTCTCGCATACTGATTTTTGAATTCTATAATTTGGACATACTACTCGGCTGGCGTACTGATTTTAGCATACTGTATAGTACGGAAGTAAGCGGTTTCGGACGCAGCCTCAAGCCTGGTTTATTCTTCTGCGTCAATTGACCGATGTAACCCACGGTTCATGCAATGCGCGTAGCTGTGCATTTATACTTCTGCACGCTGTCTCTGTTGGTCTGTATAACACTTCCAAAATGCTAGTTGGCAGTGAGGCGTTAATGTGTCTCTGTGTCGAGTTCCTTCGCTGGTGTTTTGCTTTTCCTGAACACTTCCTGAATGTACAAGTGGCTCAAAGTCGCTCATTTTGAGGCAGGAGCCGGCGGACGTGCAACAACTTTAACTATGAGGTAAACACAAAACAAAACTTTCCATCCGGAGCTCCTTCACGGGACTCCACACTTGTAAACAATCGCTCCATCGGGCTCACGCCATTCGCGCAGCTCTCGGTCCCGCCCTGATTCGTCGGCGCTACCAAGGCAACCAATCACAGAGCTTGCGCTAAGCGTCGTTGCGACTTTTAGTTAACATTTTTTGAGAGGTGCACGTCAGCGTCACCGACGGGCACGGCATATGGCTATGCGTCAACGCCGTAGCATACGCGTGTGCTTGACGCAGAAGTATAAATCAGCCTTAAGAGGATTATAGATGTGGAGTTTTAGATGAAGCACAAATGAACAGTGACAGGAGGCTCCATACACTGACAGAAGCATGAAGCACACACTGACAGTCACTTTTGCACACAGATAACACTAGTCCTGTTTTGAATCTGCCACTATGCTGATGCACTGGCTTTATAGCTCCACCTTCTTTTGAAAAACTTTAAAGCGACAGTCACCAAAAAAGCACAATTAGGATCAAAGCCAATAGGGGCAGCTTCAGTGAGTCATAAAACATTACTTGTGGTGTATTTTCAGCTGAAACTTCACTGCTCATCTTGTAAATAGGGGCAAAATAGGTCCCCCTTAAACCTCATAATGATATATCAACATCTCAGCCAATCAGTGTTTGTTTTTGTGTCTGTAGATTGCAGCAGCCATGGCAGAGTGTGATGCTGAATGGGAATACAGTAAGGAAAATATCCAGCCTTTGAGACAAGGCCGTTCAGTGTCGGCCCTTCATCAGGCTCTGTGTCAACAGCAGGAGGGAAACCACACAGCCCTCAATCTCAAGAAACAGTGAGTGTGTGTTTTAATAAAACAATACACAATAAGGCTGCACAATATGTTGTTTCAGCATCGATATCGCAATGTGCACATCCACAATAGTCAGGATCTGCAATGTCGAATCAGGATTATAGCAGAGTTAGCATTAAAAACACATGATTGTGGTGTAATTGCAAAGTTTAACCATAATGTTTCCAAAAATAAATGGTGTCATTTGCATGCGATGTGTGCATTTCAAGTCAGTGTAAAGCATTCAGGCAAAGAAAATAAAAATTTTAGTAACTTCAAGAAACATTAATAAAATTGTATTTATGTGCAATGTATATGCAATGAAGATTATACAGTGTTATTTATTTTACATTAAAGGGCCATGAAACGCCCTCATTTCAGCAGGGTGTTTTCACACCTCTACTTTGGAAAAAGTCAGAAAAGTGGGCGTGTCCAGCTCTGTTTAGGGGGGAGTATCTGAGAAGCAAAAGAGGGATGGTGTGGGAGTGTCGATTTGGGCATGCCCTGAGTTTCAGTGTCTTAAAACACACACACAGGGTAGAAAGTGACTGTTTACATGGACATCTGCAATCAAATTATTTGCCAAATTATTAAATGGTGGACTTTAACTGCAGTTTGGCTCTTTCATTTAGGGAATTCATTCATGCCCCTCGCGACAAACGAGATAATTGATTCGAGGAGCTGCTCTAAGCGTGTATTTTTCATGCAATGTTTGATACCGCACGGCGAATGAGAGAAAAATTGTCCGCATTTCTCTGTAAATTAGATGCACACGGCAGGGGGCGTCAGAAAGCCGCGTGTTATTCCGGTCACAAAATGCGGTGAAAATCCTACACGACGGTAATAGTTTGGTTGTGGTGCTAACATGTTTACACTCTGTGTAATAGTTAGTTTGATACGAACAAACTGAATAAGCAAAGAGCACTGGTCGCTCACTTACCAAATCTGTAGACACAGGACAATCCACAGCAACTGTTTGGAAATCTTTCTGTCAAGAATAAAAATTCACTAAACCAAATAGTTAAGTGGTCCAGTAAGCTGACCGGGGTGTCACTAGCCAATCTAGAAGCTGTGTACACTAGGCAGCTAAAGAGAATTACAAATTCAATTTTAAATGACACTGCTCATCCCCTACATTCAGAGTTTCAGCTCCTTCCCTCCGGTCGTTTTTTGTGCCTTTGTGTGGCACTGTTGTAAGATGAGGACTCTTGACTGCAAATCAAATCTACCTTCGGGTATAAATAAAGTAACCTAACCTAACCTAACCTAACCTAGAACTTTGTCTTTATTAAGAGGAGACGAGCAGCGAATCCGGATCTCCATTTGCAGAAGAAAAAAGCCCTCAGATAAACAATGTTCCTTAGAAATGTAATTTATTGTTGTCGTGCATCGCTTGCACTGTAATCCACACGTTAGACCAGCTGCACTTTCATAGAGAGAAAATGTAAACAAAACTTCACTGCAGCAAATTATAAACGCAGCACTGCACGCTTGTTTTGCCAACACAGGATGGCATCTCTGCCGTCTACACTGTAACATTAATGAATATTAATGAAGTTGCACAATAGAGTGCGCTGATTGGTTTGAACCAAGCCTTACTCATGCATTAATGCAGCACACTCAGAGACGTAATACGGTACTCCCAGGTACAGTCGTCCGGTCTACAAGCTGGAATACTCGCTAAGATCTCATGGCCGTGACGCAGCTTCAAAGATTTGTTTCAAACCGGAAGTACGAATTTGCTCGAAATTACACATAAACAACCAATTTACACTTTATATTTGTGTCCTAATAGTGTTTTTAGCAGTGTGGGACACATAAACAACTCCTCAACAGCTCAAAAAATGTGTTTTGGTGTTTCGTGACCCTTCAAATTGTTCAATTTGTGACTCTGAATATTTTAAGACTCTCAGAAAAAAAATAAAGCTTTTATTTCATTTGCAGCTTCGCTTTACTGTATTTGTCATTGTTTGTGATTTGGTTTATTACATTTTATGCAGATGCGCTCCACTACAAAATCATCCTAATATTGTCCTAAAATTATTACATAACAAATTTTCTTAAAATTATTCATTCTTTTCAAATAAAGCTATTATTTTTTGTTAATAAATAAAATTAAATAATAAATAAAATAAAATATTGCAATGTCAGTTTTTTCCGATATTGTGCAGCCCTAATACACGAGAAGAAGCAGCCGTTGATTTCTGTATCATTTTTTTTGTTTGTTTCTACAATGGAGGAATATTTATCAGTAAATATTCCTCACCAGAACAAGTAAAGGATGAGGAAATTATGACATTTTTAAGATTTCATTGTTGGGTGAATTCTCTCTTTAATATAGCTGTTTTTCTTTTGTAGAGAGTTTGAGTCTGAGCTGCGTCTGTATGATGGAGACGATCCTCTGGATGTTTGGGTCAGGTATAGAGAAACGATTAATTATGGCTGCAAAATATGCATATTTACTTTTGATGCAAATTGCATTGATTGTTTTTATAATTTCTGCAGGTATATAAAGTGGGCAAAACAGACGTACCCACAAGGTGGAAAAGAGAGCAACATATCAGTGCTTCTTGAAAGAGCGGTCATGCGCTTTACAGCTGAGCAGAAATATCACAATGATGTCCGCTATGTTGAACTCTGGATCCAGTTTGTGAGTGACTGACCTTAAAAGATTAGTGCACTTCCAGATCATTTACTCTCCTCTTTGTCATTCCAGATCTTTACTTGTGTGTTTCTTCAGTTAAAAAGAAATTACGTTTTTTGGGGAAAGCATGCAGGATTGTTCTCCATATAGTGGTCTTGAGTGGTTTGAGCTTCTGAATTACAGTTTCAATGCAGATTAGGGATGCTCATTTCAGTTAATTTTGCCAAACGGTAAATGCCACTTGTTAACTGGTTAACAGATTGATATTAAATTATTATTTAATAAAAAAAAAATTTATGTTTCTATTTTGTGTCTGACACATGCAATTTTAAAACACTGATTTATTTTAACATCCGAACATATTAACAACAGAACATCTTCACGCACCTGAAGTGTTACCAACAGCAATTAAATTAAGTATTTGTTGCATTAAATTTGAATTGACTATCTCAAAACCATCCCCGTCGTTCTCCCTTTCTTACTTAGATGGGATGGCAGGTGAAGTCAAAGGTTATATGGGCTAACTTTGGCCACCAGGGCACTAGTTTGGGGATGTCTGCTCTTAATGATCCCAGATCAGCAGAGTTTTATATAGTGAAATGATTATTATATATATATTCTGGGATGCAAACTGCTGTGGTTAAAGTATATGGTTTATCAATATAAAAATATATTATTATTATAGCAAGAATGGGTTTTTTAACTACAGCGGTTCGAACTGTAGAACTGTATTATTATTTTTTATCAAATATTTCCAAAGTAACGTTTTACATTATTGCCTATTATTAAATTACGTTACATTACATCCTTTGAAGAAAGTCTCATTTCTTTTAGTTTTAGTTCTTTAAAACAAAAACTGCTAACGTTAATATTAGCCCAGTCAAGAAACAATGTTTTCTGATTGGCTTCAGAACAAACCACTGTTGTTTAATGACTTGCCTAATTAACCTAATTAACTTGCATTTTTAACCTAGGGCTTACTCACACTATGCCATCCGTACCATGCCCAGGCCCGTTTCCTGGATCGTTTGAGAAGTGTGAGTGCGCTGAATCAGGCTCAGGCACGGTTCACTTGGCTGGCCCTGGCCCGGTTGGAAGAGGTGTGCCTGAGCGCAGTTCACTTGGGCTTTGGCGCGGTACGCTTGTGTGTGAGTGCAAAATGCGCCAAAGCCCGAAACTGAAAGCGAGACGTGACTTTTAAGGGGCTGTTTCATATGGATTTATTAATCATTCTTACTGTTCAGTGAACGCAAACTGCCGTAGCTTATTAAAGACGAGAACTTCTCACTGCATGACAGCTGCACCTTCAGCAGACCTCCTCATTCCTGCAGCACGAGAGCTTTATGATTGTTTATGAGCGCCAAAAGTGGCGGATCTGTTCGGCGAAATATCTGACTGCGTGTCACCGCATCCCTAAGGACTGTTTGGTGAAATATTTGACTGCATGTCACTGCATATCAAACCAACTGAAACGATGTAACTAGAGAAATCTCCTCTGTGCTGCTGAGTGAGAGAGCGCTTCTCACTGAACAGCGCAGCAGCGATGACATAAGCGTGCCGAGGCCCATTTGTGGTGTGAGTGCAGGCCGTCGGGGGAGACGGGAGGGGGGACAAGTGTGCTTTGGCCCAGTTCGAGGCAACTGTACCTAGTGTGAGCACGGCCCTAGTTAAGCTTTTAAATTGCAAACTAAATACTAGTATCTTGAAAAGTAACTAATAAAATATTAAAAGAAAAGAAATTAGTTATTAAAGCTATTATGTTTTTAAAAAAGCTGTTTAACATCATAAAAAGCATCTGATTTTCTCAGGAGGGTGAATTATATTGTCTTGAACTACAATTTTTTTTTTTTTCTAGCTTGATTGAAAGTTAGAAACTGTAATTCAGAAACTCAACCCACTCAATCCACTATATGGAGCAAAATCCTGCATGTTTTTCTTAAAAACCTTAATTTCTTTTCCAAAGTAAGAAATTAATATCTTGCATGACAAGCGGGAGAATAATTTATCATGTTCAATCATTTAGATCTAGCTGTAAATTCATATTGTGGTCTTTAATTTTCACTTCATCTGCTTCTGTTTACACACAGGCGGAAAGCTCTTCCGACCCGATGGATGTATTTCGCTATATGCAAGCTCAGGGAATCGGCACAATGCAAGCGGTTTTTTATATCGCCTGGTCCGAGGAGCACGAGAAGAGGGGGAACATGAAGATGGCCGACAGTGTTTTTCAGGACGGTGTCAAGTGTGGAGCAGAACCCTCAGATAAACTGCATGCATTTCACAGGTCGGGATGTGTCCTAAAATCAACTTTACCTGAGACATGCATTTCTGGGCTCTCGAATTGATTGCATTGATGCATATCTGTTGCATGTTAAATGTAGAAAGCTTTGCAAAATTACTTATCATTTACAGGTCCCATTAGATTAAAATACATTTTGTTGTTTTAGATGTTAGTATCAGTATTGGTAGTTTTCAGGATATCTATAAGCTAGTATCCTCTAATACAGTGACAAATTTACGTTTAGGAGATTTAAAACTAAAATATACACTTAAATGGATCAACGGTTTTATTCACGTCACCTCATACTTCAGATTAAATCTTCTGACCAATCAAATGCTCTCTAGTGTCTGACGTGCCCCACCTCCTTCAAGACAGTTCACATTTGAGATCAACCACTCACTTGCAGAGCTGTGCTAAAACAAAACAAAACACTATTGGTTGTTTTTACAAAAGGGGAGGGACTACACTGTGTCCACCTAATTTGCATCAAGAGCTTAATTCAGATTTAAAGTTAATTATTTCAATATTTCAATTACTTTTTAACATTCAGATTTTAAATTAAAAGTTGCATCTCGTATGATAAGGCAATATTATTGAATCAATGTAAAGCATATTTGTTCATTTTGTTTTCAGATAATGTATAAATCTCCTGAATTTCCAAAAGCTGACACTGATGGCTGGTTTTGTAGTCGAAGATCTTATATTTGGCTTAAAGTGGGAACTGTGCTTATATGACCGCGTCTTATATTTGAAGTGGTTTTGTCTCCAGAGCTCTGCAGGCGCGAGTGTGTAGACAGATGATGACATCCATGACTGAACAACACAGAAATGACGATGATGAAGATGATGAAGAGCCTCAGCGAGCATCACTGGCTGAACTCAAAGCCAAAGGGAAGAAAAAGGCCACCGTTCCCATCAACAGGGTGAAGGCATCTGTCGGATGTGAGCGGAAACTTTCCTATACAGTTGAAGTCAAATTATTCACCCTCCTATGCATTTTAATTGCTTTTTTAAATATTTCATAAATTATGTTTAACAGAACAAGGGATTTTTCACAGTATTTCCTATAATATTTTTTCTTCTTGAGAAAGTCTTATTTGTTTTATTTCAGCTAGAATAAGTTTTTTTTAAACCCATTTTAAGGTCAATATTATTAGCCCTCTTAAGCAATATTTGTTTTGGATTTTCTCCAGATTAAACCACTGTTATAATTGCCTAATTACCATAACTTTACCCTAATTCAGGGTTTCTGCAGAGTCTTAAAAAGTCTTAAATTTCAAAAACAAGATTTTAGGCCCTAAAAAATCCTAAATTCACTGAAGTATTGTGTTGTAGGTCTTAAACAAGTCTTCATTTTAAACGTTGTCAAAGTGAAGTTACCCAATCAGCCCAACACCCATCCAATCACCAACAATCCATCTAAATAATTCATATATAGATTTTTTTTTATTGCAAAGGGATGTTTATTTCGCAACAGCTGTTAGACATTTTACAGCAAATTCTCTTAACTGAATTCCCTAATCAGCTCATGATAATAACAGCAATATACCCCTTTACATAATCTTCCATAATATTAATAAATGTAACTTTAGGGAGCCCCTATTATGCATTAAATAGGGTCATATTTTGGATTTGGGGGTCTCCAAAAACAGGCTGATATGCATGCAAGGTAAAAAAAACACTTTCATTGTCTTATAATATGCATTTATTTTTACCTAATTATCCCAAGGACTCCCATATGATTCGTTTAACGATTCATTTGTTCTCAAAACCTTCCTTCAATTCAATTCAATTCAGCTTTATTTGTATAGCGCTTTTACAATGTAGATTGTGTCAAAGCAGCTTCACATAAATGGTCATAGTAACTGTAACAGTGTAGTTCAGTTTTTACTGTTTCAGTTCAGTTCAGTTTAGCTCAGTTCAGTGTGGTTTAAAATCATTACTGAGAGTTCAAACACTGAAGAGCAAATTCATCGATGCGTAGCTCTACCAATCCTGAACCATGCGAGCCAGTGGCAACAGCGCGATCCTTAGTGCGATGCTAATCTGCGCTGATTGGTCCGATCACTCTGTTGTGATCAATCGACTGCGTTCAGCATGAGACAGAGAGTAATTCCCAACACTGCTCATCAACATTGATGAAGTAGTCAGAGTGCAGAGTGTATGTGTGAGCCCAATGCAGAAGTGCATTAAAGCAGTGCATTTAAACACCAGCATATTGCTCTATTCTTAACCATGACACACATTACATATTACTCCACACAGCGACAAAAGCTGAACTATTTTGAAACTTGATCGCTGCACGTGTGTAGGAACAGCTGATGGTGGCCATAGTAATTACAAACGGCAGTGAATCAAATGTATTTAAATCTAAACAAAGCGGCACGCGTCACATTTTTAACGTGGCATTACACGCGATATGAGAATATAGAGTTAACCAGATACAGTACAAGTGGTTACAAGTAATAAAACACGATTAAATACATCATTTGCAAGCTAGAGAAAACAAGGAGCCATTTTACCGTTTTAATTACACTTAAGCTACTACTTGTGAAATGGAGCGAGGAACTAATTCATGAGTTGTGTACTGGAAAGTTCCTGTCAAGCTCTGACAAAGTCCCATACATCAATAGTCTTTTCTGGTCCTTCCTTCTTTTAAATGACTGATGAATCCCCAGTTGTAAGCGTGTAGATTGCTGAAGCACTTATCAGAAAAATGACGGAAACACAGCACAAGGCTGGGGCTATAATGCTGAGGTATTTTTGCGGAAATAAACTTCAACCACTGAATACACTTCACAGCTTCATCTATAGGTAGGAAAAATACCACTAACTTCCCTCACACAGAGCACAGCGTCTTCACAACATGATTCAACTGGGATCTGGGTTCAGTTTACCCATGCGCAACAAATAGGAGAGGCTTGAGTTCCAAATCACTTTGAGCCGACTCTTTTATAGATGAATCAATAGTTTTAAACATGGTGCATTTTCAAATTTAAGCCTTATGCCGAGTTCAAACTGCATGTTTTTCAAAGTAGTCGTGTCACAGATGTTTTCACACTGCTTGACTATCTTGGCTAGCATTTTGTCGCTGCTTTGTTTACACTGCAAGATGGATCGGCGACAGGGACTTTTTACATTGCATGACTTTACTATAGGAAGACTTCGTCCAAACTACGTCTCACAGACAAAAACACGTAGTATATCTTTTGTTATTAACTACATAATGAGAAAGAAGCCTTTAATAGGGTAGAACATGTACATGTTTGCTCACCTGGGTTTAAAGGGAATTAGCCAATTCTCCTCAACATTGATAATAAACTAATTTCTTTCTGTATGAAACGTCAAACAGACACAGTTGCCCCTGAGTCCTGTCAAACCTCCACTAGTTTTTCCTCCATTTCGTGGGTCCAAATAAACCGAAAATGAGCGCTTTTAACTTCTCCCCAGCCTCCCGCTGGCCAGCAGGCACACACACGCAAGTGAATGCTGCTCTCTCATTGGCTGTAGGCGATGGCTGATGTTATTTTCAGTCAAAACTCACTCACACGTCATGATTTGAATCGCAGACACCTCCAGATATTCAGCACGCCAAATATCTCGCAGGCATCGCCGACTCATCGGCGACTCTGTCAGATCGCGTCTTTGATAGTTCATACTGTGTGATTGTCACTCACGTGCACGAGCACCGATTTGCCTGTGATTTCAGGCATTTGTCGGTGATTTCTCAAAACCTGTCGGCGAGCCAAAATCGGGGCTAAAATCATGCAGTCTGAACTAGGCATTAGCTGGATATTTCACTTCACTTCGAGTTTTGTTACTCACTACATGGAAGCTCATTTTCAAAAACACATAATAGGGGCTTTTTAATTTATTACATGACACTTAAGGTTTTATAAATTGAAGGGGAAAAGTGTATACAATTAGTTTTCTTGTTTTGGCACATTAAAATATGTGGTTAAGAAATAACTACATTTGATTTTTCCAAGTCCATTGAACCAACTGGGTCATTACAAAAAATCTGTAGTGTTTAGCCCTGTATAAAGCTGCGGTCACACTGGACTTTTCTCCCCATAGACTTCCATTCATACGCACGCAAATGTGTCAGACTTGAAACGCAGGGTCGTGCCTCAAGTTTCGCAGGTTGCTGCGGTGCAAAGTTCAAGCTTGGTGATTTCTGACCTGCGAAATCGCATCACTTGACTGCGTAAGACCAATCGAGGATCAAAACACGACCTCTCTGGACAGATATTTAAAACATGGAGCAATCGCTCGCTTTTTTAATGTCTTATAATCTTGTTTAATCCCACCCCAATAGAATTTCCCATTATCCAACTTTAGTGTAACCGCAGCTTAACTCTCTTAAAATCTCATTTATAAAGGTCTCAAAAGGGTCTTAAAGTCTTAAATTTGACTTGATGAAACCTGCAGAAACCCTGTAATGAACCTAGTTAAGCCTTTAATTGTCACTTTAAGCTGAATACTAGTATCTTAGGGGGCTTTCACATCTGTAGTTCGATTCATTTAGTCCGGACCAAGGGTAATACAGGAAACGTTGCATTTTCTGCCGTCTTTGGGTCGTTTTCACACCACACTGCTGGCTTTGGTCCGAACCAGTTGAACCGAACCAAAATGCAGTAATCTGACAAAATCCACATCTCTCATTGGCCAGATGTTGTTGAACATATTTCCTAAACTGCTTATTGATTGGTCAGAATTCACGTGCGGGAAAATGCCAATGAACTCCCGCAGGTAAACAAAACCTTTTACTCTGGAGGGACGACTGACTGATTGTTTCCCTGCTTTAGACAAACTATACATTACGAAAATGTAGCGCGGCTGCGGCTGGAAAACAGTGTTTAATGCATCGCTCGTCACTTTAGGAGGAGGCGTGAATTAATTTAGCTAAACTGCAACATGGTCATCTTGCGGAAATATTACCAACGATCCATCAGGCAATGTTTTACCCTCTCTCTTTGTTGGTAAAGCGGTGTCAACAAATATTTTTCCTCCATACCCCATAATGCACAGTGCATCGGCCTACGGCAGCTGAATTAGTCCAAAACGCGCAGTACTTTTTCCTGTTGGACCTGTTTTAGTACGGATCATATTCTCACCACAAACGAACCGCTCCAGGGTTCGTTTGAAAGCGTACCAAGACCACCTCTTCAAGCAGGTCTAGGTACGTTTATTTGGTCCGCTTTTGGTGCGCACTCAAGTACGATTGCTGCATTCTCACCTGCCCAACCGAGATATATCCAGCTGCAGGCCCGCAGAACCACACACGTTTGAGGCACACACAATCTAGGCAAACCATATATGGTAACTTACTGTTTAGCATTATCGCCATCTATTGAATTTCACAAATATGGTTTCCCATTTCAGTCATTATTATTATTATATCGTAACGATCATTTTAACATCTTTGCAGTTTTTGAACTTAAATTATGTAAATAATAATAATTGGTTAAAGAAACTTATGACTTTATTCATGTGTCCATATACACAAAGAAAACATAATAGACCGTCTAATTGTTGGATCAAGTGTAATAAACTAATTCAAGCTCTTAATATTATCATTCTTGGTATAAAAAGCAAACAATAATATGTCACTTTAAAATAAATTAGCCTACTATAGTTAACCATTTAAACAATATATATAGTTATAAACTGATTATCTGAACTGATTATAATTATAAAATCATATATTAACTTCTATCTTTTACTAAACTGTCACTGTTAAAGCTGTTTTATATATATATATATATATATGTATGTATATGTATATAAATGTGTGTGTGTGTGTGTGTGTGTGTGTGTGTGTGTGTGTGTGTGTGTGTATATACACACTTATGAATTTTTTATTAATAGTTTATTTTTTCCTATTTGTTTCCTATTACTGTAGTATTAAATTACTACAGTTTTAAATGTGGGAAATCATTAATTAAAAGGTTATTAGAAAATTAAGCTAATATATTAGTTTATAAACACTATTAAATTGCTTGAGTAAAATATTAATATAGTGTTATACATTTGTTACATGTAAAAAGATTTTTATTACATATAATGTATTATTGCCTATATTAACTTGCTATTATTTCCTTCATCATAAATTAATCCATTATATAAATTAAACATGTCCAAATGAGATCATTCAGCAAGGCCAGCAAACGAGTATCTGCCATATTATTGTCAGATAATAATGACTGATCAGCTATAATGACTGATTAAAAACTGTTCACTCTATTATATTGAATGGCGATCGGAAACAATGCTCCCCATTCGGCTGTCTCAATCGCAATATTTGTGAAATAAAGTAAAGTAAACACTATTGTTTATTGTCTACAATATTTATTAATCATATATATCAAAATATATCGATGACGATGTCCAAAAAGACGTCATAACTTTAACATCCGTCGTAACCATATATGGTTTGCCTAGATTGTGTGTCCTAGATTGTGTGTGCCTAAAACGTGTGTGGTTCTGCGGGCCTGCAGCTGGATATTATTGGCCCAACCGTGCCAAAAGGGGAAACGAACTCTAGTGCGATTCAATCAAACTAAATAAGGCAGGTGTGAAAGCACCCTTAAAGAATATCTAGTCAAATATTATGTGCTGTGATCATGGCAAAGATAAAAGAAATGAGTTATTAAATCTATTATGTTAAGAAATGTGTTGAAAGAAATCTTCACCTGTTAAACATAAATTGAGGGTAGAAGAGATATTGAATCTCAATGGGTAAATAAATGAAAACAGTAGGTATTGAGTAGGATCCAGGATAAGATTGTACTTTAGAACTTCTAACGAACAGTTAAAATCTTAATAATAGGCAGGTGATAGGCCAGTAGTTAATAGCATGAATTGTGACCTATATTAAAGCATTAGCTTGCACTACTCTTCAACAGTATTATGTACTTTCCTTGTGTCATATAGCCCTAATTTGAAGTCGGTATCGCCCGTCTCTACTTTCTAGACTTTCTTGTTTTTGAGTGAAAGTGAATCTTTGCACTCTTTCTGTTGTTTGTGGCTCAGATGCTCGCGGGCTCCAGTTTAAACAGCCTCTGGGCCCCAAACAGAACAGCCGGCTCATGATATTTGATGAGAATAAAGCTGAAAGTGAGCCGCAGGAGCCCAGATTTGAGGTCTGGACGGCGCCGCCTGCTGCCCGAGCCAAAGAGAACCAGCAGAAAGTGGAGAAGTGGAGCAACGTGAAGGTGATCATTCCATCTGTAGAGTGGCAGAGAGAGCTTGATGTGCTCTTACATGTGCACTTACAAAAACACCAGCTAATTAAAGGATCCTCATTGATTTGACAGCATATGGTTGCAAATCCTCCTGTTTCCCTAAATCACAGTATGTTAAGCTCTCTCGGCCACCGTAAACCTGTTTAACCTGACTGCTGCAGGCTGTGTTTGCAGGACAATAGCAGGAGTGGGTTTAGCATTGTTTATGTGCTGAATGTGTTGCGTTTGGTTGCAGTTACCTCTCAAGTCCAGATCAGGCCTCAGTGTTGCGGTTCCACCTCCTAAACCCAGTTTCCAGCCATTTGTGGAAGAGGACGACCAGCCGCCTGCTGTGTAAGTCCATCATAAAATACAAAAAAAATGTTTACAAATTAGGCTAAAATTAATATTTTAAAATAAATGTATTTTTTTAAAAGATTTATTTAAAGATTAAATTTGTATTTTTTTGATTGAAATTAAAGATTTAAATAAAACAAGTTACTTATTATAGTACTTGTATATACACACAAAAAAGTACATATGCATGCATATATATAGTGGTGTAAAGTAACTCATTACAAATACTCAAATTACTGTAATTGAGTAGTTTTTCTCAGGAAATAGTAAATTTACTTAGTAGTTTTATAAATGTGTATTATTACTCCACTACTTTCCTTCAACCTGCCGTCACTACTTTATTTTCTCCTGTCTATGGGAATTAGAAAAATCAGTCCTGTCTATCTAATCGCACATAGAAGGTAAATCACATCATAATGAGCAACCTCAAGGCATAGACGATTTATAATTGCAGCAAACTGTTTGGAAGCATTAAAAGAGTCCAAGAAGATGACTAAAATCTTTATATGCATTGACCCAGAGACTGTTTAGATGATGTCACTGATGAGAAGAGGATGGATGTTTTCTGTATGATGATCCGAAATGGCGTCATCATGTCAGACTGACGTTGTACCCCAACATCATGGGGACGTTGCATTTTGTTTGGAACATTTTGTTGACATCAGAAGCCAACGTAAGGCTGACCTCAATGTCTAACCTAAATCAACCAAATATCAATGTCTAATGATGTTAGAGCTTTATTTTGTTTGGACATTACCACTATGACGTCTATTAAATGTTGGATTTTAGTTGCCATACCTGTATTTGAAGTCAATATGATGTTGGCTTGACGTTGGATTTTGGTGACTTTCCAACACAACCTAAAATCAACCAAATATCAAAATCATTTCATGTCGATTTTGGACATCAATTAATGTTGTCCTTAGACGCTGGCTAGACATTGAATTTTGGTCACCTGACATCACAACCTAAATGTAACCTTATATTAATGTCTTATGATGTTGTGTGTCTGCTGGGCAATAACTAAATGCACTACAGAATGTTACGTTTACACACACACACATCCACAAATATATAGATATAGATATAGATATGTAAACAATAGTACCCCTGTAAGAACACTACTAAGAAAATACAGCAACTTAATACAAATCAAATTGACTAATTAAACAATTATCATGTAAAAAGTACTTTTATATTTTCATTATACATATTTATAAATACATTTTTAGTTTTTTCTTTCTTTTAATTTGAGATCAATTTTCCCCCCTTTTTTACTTTTTAGTTTTAGCTATTTTGGTCCTATAGGTATCCTCTCTTGCATTCTGGGTCTTGCAATATAAATCATGCAATATAAGACCGTTTTACTTTCACAATAGCTATAAATGAAGAGATTTTCCAAGAACTAAATTTTTTAGCAATTTTCAGATTTCACATTTTAATGTGATTCATTGAAGAGCACGATTGCAATAAACAAAAAACAACGTAATGGAAATCAGGAATGCTCAAACTCGCTCATTCCGAGGCAGTAACCAGCGGACGTGCAACAAATTTAATCACAAGGTAAAAACAGAACAAAACTTTCCATCTGGAGCTCCTATACAGGAGTCCAAGCTTGTAAACACTCGCTCTTACGGGTTCACGTGGCTCTCAGTCTCGCCCACACTCGTCAGCTCTACAAAGCTGACCAATCACAGAGCTTGCGACTTGTAGTTACATTTTTTTAAGAGATACGCGTCAACAAGGGGTATGTGTCTAAGCGCAGGCTGCGCCGTAGCATACATGTGCGCTTGACACAGAAGTTTCATTTTCATCCACGATACCTCTCCCTCCTCTGGGAACATGCCGGATCTGTTACACCATTCTGTTCCGGGACCTCGCAATTTACAAATTAGGCACTGGTCATCATGGCTGATACAGAGTACTGATTTTGAAGCTTTATAAAACTTTACATGCTTAAAGCACATTTAACCCACTAAGGCTGCTTTCACACCTGTGAATTGATTCAGTTGTTCCGAAACAGAGATTACTATTGTTACATTGTTGCTTTTTAATCTTGGAGCGATTCGCTTTCACACTGCAAAGTTTCTAATCGGACCAAAAGAGATAAAACAAGTCACGTGTGAGTAAACTCTCCTCACATTGGTCAGAGTGTCAGGGTTTATTTTGCAGCGTCCCGCTCAGCTGTCAGGAGAGGTGGTGGTTTGGTGGTGATTGACAAGGTGTGCGCGACGTGTCTGAGGAGAGACGCGGTGGGGAGGGGTGAGAAGGGTGCACGACGATGCCTATTTGAGGACCGGGAGGGAAAAGCGAGATTACCGGGAGATCATCACTCGTTTGCGGGCATCCGGAGACTCGCGAAACTTCCCGCCATACTCATAATTCTCTCTTCATATAGCCGTAAGCCTATTACATATCCATAAAACACTGTGATATAACCGCGCTCGGATCGGATCGCTTTCTCACTGCAATCAAACCACTCCAGGGTTCGTTTCAATCGAGCTGAGACCACCTCATTCAAGCGATCTCGGAGTGATTACTTTGGCGCGGAACAGAGCGCGATTGCCCTGTTCACATATGCCAAACGAACCGCGCTAACTGGGCAAACGAGACACGTTCCCAAACAAATGTGTAGGTGTGAAAGCACCCTAAGTAAGATACTTGAATGGAGTTTTCTTCTTACCTAAGAGGATAAATGAAGGATGTTGCATCTAATCTCTTAAATATGTCTCTTATAACCATTTAGGGTGGACATGTCTTGGCAGGAAGTTTTGATGTGCGATCGGTTCATTAGATTGGCAAGCACCAATCGAGTCAAAAATGTGATTACTGGCTGATACCGAACTCTGGTCAACTGATCAGAGCATCCAGAATAAAAAATTTGGCGTGGGTTTCCTCCGGGTGCTCCGGTTTCCCCCAAACACATGCGCTATAGGGGAATTGATTAACTAAATTGGCTGCAGTGTATGTGTGTGCATATGAGTGTATGGGTATTTCCCAGTAATGGGTTGCAGCTAGAAGGGCATCCACTGTGTAAAGCATATGCTGGAATAGTTGGCGATTCATTCTGCTGTGGCGACCTCTGAATATGAAGGTACTAAGCTGAAGGAAAATTAATAAATATATGGTACCCCTATCGGACTATAATTTTTGTCCTATAAAGAGATCCTTAAAGATTTTTGTAAATGACTAAAACTGGAGCTTTTGAGTAGTTTTCATAGTGAAATGGCAAAAAAGAAAAGGTTTTTTGCATATGAACTCTTTAAATAATGCCTCTGTGTGCAGTTTTGCATGCCCTCACCTCTGCTCTGTTGTTGCTGCTGCAGAACTCCGTGTAAAATCAACCCTGCGGTGAACTCGGTTCTGTCTGCGAGGAAGCCCAGCCGTCTGGAGCAAACGCCACTGAAGAAGCTGCAGGAGAAACAGATGCAGACGCTGGAGGACGGAGAGAGCAGAGAGCAGAGCATGTACTGCAGAGATCTGCTCTACAGCGGAGCCACAGAGTTCTGCTTCGAGGAGCTGCGCGCACAGAGATACCTGCAAACACACACCATACACAATCTGAAAACACCACACACATCAACACACTGCCTGCACACCAACACTGACAAATGAACAGAGTTCTGATTACTTCTGAATTGACGTTTACTGATCATTAACTCATCCAGTATGTTCATTTCTTCAGTTAGGGAAAAGAATTAAGGTTTTTAAAAGAAAACATCCATAAATATAAGTGCAATTTCTTCAGTAAACTAATATGAAAGTAAATGTAAGTTTCAAGATAACTATTGTGAAAATAAATGCATTATATTTTGAAAATAAAAGCAATTTTCTGTAAACTAACATGAAAATATATGCAAGATTCAAGATAACTAGTGTGAAAATAAACACCAGATTTTCAGAAAACTAATGTGAAAATAAATGCAAGCAAATGTTTTTATATATTAAAAAATGTATTCATTTTCATGTTAGTTTTTTGACAAATTGCAATTATTTTCTTAAGAGATTTCTGAAAAAATAGATTTTTCACATTAGTTTTCTGAAAATCTGGCATTTTTACATTAATTTTCTGAAAAATATGCATTTATTTTCAAATTAGTTTTCCTGAAACTTGCATTGATTTTCACAATAGTGGTCTGAAAAATTGCATTTATTTTCATATCAGTTTTTGAAAAATTGCATTTATTTTCTTAATAGTTTTCTAAAAATAAAAAATAAAAAAATGCTTTTTTTTTTTTTTAGAAAACTATTAAGAAAATAAATGCAATTTGTCAAAAACTGATATGAAAGTAAATGCAATTTTGGAAAATCTGGCATTTATTTTTATAATAGTTTTCTTCAAAGTTGCATTTATTTTCATATTAGCTTTCTGAAAAAATTGCATTTATTTTCATATTAGTTTACTGAAAATCTGGCATTTATTTTCACATTAGTTTTCTTAAAATCTGAATTTTTTTGTGTTAGTTTTGTGAAAGAAATGCATTTTCATAGTTTACTGAAAATCTGACATTCATTTTCACACTAGTTTTCTGAAAAATTGCATTTATTTTCATATCAGTTTTCTAAAAAATTGCATTCATTTTCAGATATTAAAAAGATTAAATGCATGATTAAATTAGTTTATTTGCAAAAGCAGCCAACTGCGTTCTTAGTTGTTTTTTTTACAGAAATCATGTTTTGCATTTAACAGAAGAACTGCAAAAAAACATGATTTATATAAATTACTAAAACTGAAGCTCTTTAGTGGTTTTCAGAAATCTAATATTAAAATACATATATATATATATATAGATTTAATGCAAGTTCAGTAATTAATATTTAAATATTCATAAAATATAAGTAAAAAGTTATCTAAAATTTAAGATATAAATAAAACATTACCTTTTTAAATCAATAAATATACACTCCCCCTGATTTATGGGTTTGAGCTTGCCTGACATTAGGCCTTTGATGCAGGCTTTTGTTGTTAAAAGTACGTCATTCATTTTTGTTTATTTATTTTTTTAGAAAATAACATTGTTTCCTCTATAGCAGAATCTAATTCCTGATCTGTGATCATTTAAAGTCCTGGAAGCTGCAGTGAAACTAAGAAGTTTACTATATTGAGAAAGTCCTGCATGTTTTCCTCAAACTTTCGTTCCTTTTCCACTGAACAAATGAACATCTTGGATTAAGAGGAGGAGGATGATTGATTAGGATATTGATTCTGGACGTGAAATAATCCTAAAACTCCTCTAAAACACCCACTAGGTTTTGAAACAGTATTTGTTTTGGTGCTTTTGTGAGTCTGTCCTGTGTTTTTGTACATATATTTTCTTTTGTACATACATACTGTTTTTGTTACTACATTTATAACTTTAGCGTTTGTGAATAGGCATTGTATTGTCGTGTGTTATTAATGCTTCAATAAATGCTACACATTTGATATCAAACTGCTCTTTTACTTTGCATGTGCACACTATCAGCAGAGGAAGATGATAAAGCTTATTTGCATATAATTAAACTGGTTTAAAAGCTTGCTGGAAATATGGAGATCAGAAATAAGCTTAATCTTCTGACTCTCCAATAGCCACATCCTTCCAAACTTAGTTTGATGCAAATCAAAAAGGAGAGGTGGGGCTAAAAAAAAAACAAAGCTCCGCCCCTACTCAATATTCAGTTTCTGTCTGAAGTAGATCATCAAACTGAAAAAAAACCAATGTGTTCCAAACATGATATCTCGCCCTACGAAGGGCACTTCAGAGTGAAAACAAAAATGAATGCCATATTGAAGTGTCGTTACCAAGCTGCAACATCCCGCTGTCCTTCGTGAAGCAAGTATGGAAAAACTGAAACTGCAATTCATCCACTCACATTTGAGGGCTGGCTCTAGGAACTCCAGATGTTCACTGACTGCAATGCTAAACTGGCCAATTTTACAGCTGATAAAACATGTTTACAGCCTGCTACAAAAGAGGGTTTTGGTGCATATAGCTAATTTTACCCTTCATGATAACTGTGAGGGGGTGAATAGTTTTATAACTCATCTGTTTTGTTTATATTAAGTTTGCATAATTAAGGGCAAGGCCACTTGAGTGACAGCTAGGTCTAGCTGGTCGCCGTCATGTCATTCCGGCTGATTAGCTGCTGAACTAGGCATATACGTCATATTTTTGTGTTGTTTTATGTGGTGTTACAGTAGTGCCTTTTGGAATTATTTCCTACAATTACCAGATGATCTGGCATGCTATCTTTGTTACCACTATCTTTGTTGTCTATGGTGCAATGAAACAAGATGTGCAGCACCTGAAACTGTGGATACTGGAAGCCTGTGCTGTCATTTCTCATGTTGCTATCAGTGCGTGAAGAGTGGGAGAAGAGGGTTGCATTGACAGTCCAACACAATGGGCAGCACATTAAACACATTTTATAAGTGGTCAGAAACTTGTAAATAACTCATGAAAGAATAAAGTTACATTAAAACCAAGCACACCATTGTTTTTCTTGTGAAATTCCCAATAAGTTTGATGTGTCACATGACCCTCTTCCTATTGAAAAAAAACAAAAGTTGGATCCAAGATGGCCGACTTCAAAATGGCCACCATGGTCACCACCCATCTTGAAAAGTTTGCCCCCTCACATATACTCATGTGCCACAAACAGGATGCTAACATCACCAACCATTCCCATTTTATTAAGGTGTATCCATATAAATGAACCACCCTGTACATTGTAAAAGCGCTATACAAATAAAGAAGAATTGAATTGAGCAATTATGAATACATGCAAACATACTAGGGATGGGAAGATTAACCGATATGTATCGATACGCGGTCATGCGCGTGCACGATGCGAGTGCATCGGTAGAGCAGCAGAGGATGAATGAAATTTTGGAAGCAAATCGAGATGCATCGGTTTTTGCGAGATGCATCGATTTTTCCGAGATACAGCTTATATTTTTAATATAGAATGTATTTTTTATTTATTAACAAGTGTTGTCAACCTGTTTTTGGCGCATAATTTAATCGACCTACATAAAGTAAGCCTTAGCAACGGATTTGCGGATGTGTACACTACAACTCAGTGTATCAGGTGTGCGGAAGAAGCTAGTGGAGCGGCCTTTAGAAAGTGCGAGAAGCAAAACAAACATTTTATTCCCCACTGAGTTTTAAATCTAAAGTATGGCAAGCAACATTATGGATTTAAGAATGGACGACATGACAGGACAGATGCAATTTGCAAAATGTGCCGCGCATCTGTAAAATACGCGGGCAGTACGACTAATCTGAAATCTCACTTGAAGCGGCGCCACGGTGTTGTTGTGAAAGCATCTTCCAGTGTTTCTGCATCCCCGGCTTTCGCACTGCTTTAACCAGCTCCAAAAGTGGTGAGAAAAGCATTGCAAGTTTTTTCTCCATGCGCAACAGTTCTGCTCGCTCTACGCCAATAACGAATGTTATTGCATTGTTCATCTGCAAAGATATTCAGCCTAGTGTCACGGAGAACGAAGGTTTTAAACACCTCCTCCTGTTAATTTTTATTTAATTATAATAATAATAATATTAATAATAATAATAATAAAAATAATTGGGTGTCACGGTGACACAGTGGGTAGTTTGACCACCTCACAGCAAGAAGATTGCTGGTTTGTTATATTTTTATTAGCCTGTTGTTTACAGTGACAGTGATGTTTCAAAGCAGCATAACACTGCTAGTTCACAACCTTAAGTTTTGAATATTCAGTGGCAAAATATCTTTGTAAAACTTGTTTTCATAGTTGAAAAGTTAAATCACAATTCTTGTTGTGCAATGCTCAACCTTTATGTTGAAAGAGTGCAAATATATACATATTTTTTTTATATATATTGCACTTATACATTCTGTTTATCTTGAAAATACTTAAATAATATGTGCTATATGTTCTAAAATGGCCCGCTACTGTAAACTGACACTCTGGCTCTGAGAGAAAAGCCAGTTTGTAAAAAAAAGTCTTGGTTTTACTTGGTTTATAAATAATCAAACTCATTCAATGGCACAGCATCCTCTTTCACATCATCTCATAAACTTGATCTAATTAGTTAGTGCTAAAATATCGCATCGTATCGTGATATGGGTGTGAATCGTATCGTGTTGCATCGCAATATGTCATAAATGTATCGCTAATATATCGGATCTTATTCTTTGTATCGAGATGCGTATCGGATCGGCATTATAGCTTAGATGCCCAACCCTAAAACATACATACACAGGCTAAATACAAACATTAATAAACAAGGCGGAGTCTGCACAATATTCATCGTTACACACGTGTTTGTGGACATTAAGTAATGCGCAAAAAAGTGCGACGAAGCCACACCTCTATGACCGTCTTGTTAAGAAACGTGTCTAATGAAGCTTTTTTAACCCCTACATGTATGTAATGCAGGCGAGGCAGTGGCGCAGTAGGTAGTGCTGTTGCCTCACAGCAAGAAGGTCGCTGGTTCGAATCTCGGCTCAGTTGGCGTTTCTGTGTGGAGTTTGCATGTTCTCCCTGCCTTCGCGTGGGTTTCCTCCGGGTACTCCGGTTCCCCCACAGTCCAAAGACATACGGTACAGGTTAATTGGATAGGCTAAATTGTAGTGTATGAGTGTGTGAATGTGTGTGTGGATGTTTCCCAGAGATGGGTTGCGGCTGGGAGGGCATCCGCTGCGTAAACTTGCTGGATGAGTTCATTCCGCTGTGGCGACCCCAGAATATCTGCAGCAAATTATGGTTTTAAATTTTAAATATGCAGCTGACATCTAGTGGTTGAACTATGTATTGCAATTCAAATTCTGAAGTGACACGGGGGCTCAGTGGTTTGCACAGTGGCCTCACAGCAAATGGGTCACTGGTTCGAGTGGGTCAGATGGCCTCAAAGCAAGAAGGTCGCTAGTTTGTGTCCCAGCTGGGTTAGTTGGCGTTTCTGTATGGAGTTTGCATGTTCTCCCCGTGTTGGAGTGGGTTTCCTACGAGTACTCTGGTTTCCCTCACAGTCCAAACACATCATTTACGTTGGACAAACTAAATTGGCTGTAGTGTATGAGTGTGTGTGTGTGTGTGTGTGTCTGAATGAGTATATATGGGTGTTTCCCCATATGGGTGGTAAAACATTTTCTGGAATAGTTGACGGTTCATTCTGTTGTGGCGACCCCTGATAAATAAAGTGACTAAAGCCTAGTTCACACTCCAGGATTTTAAACATCAGCAGATCGCTGTGCCGTTCACACTACATGACCTGACTTTGTGTCTTTTAATCTCTGTGGTGTTCACACTACGCAACACTCTGTGAATGATCCACAACTATATGATCACACACTACATGATCTGACAACAACTCATTCCCCAACAGCTCATTCAAGCTACCAAACCACAGCCAATGAAATTTTGAGGGAGGAGTCCTCAGACAAAGCTGAACACTATTGGCTGCTTGTGTGCTGATGACATCACTGACAGCGTTTTAAGCTTTGGAGAAAGCATTTAAAAACATCGTCAAATCAGCTGATTTATCAGCGGATTAATCACTCATCTGCAAGGTTCGATAGGATAGATACACAGAGAGTTTTTAATTTTTGTAATTTTATAACTCTTTGAAATAAAACTAACAAATAACACCCTGCCGTTTTCCAACTATCAGTGTATTTCTTTCTGACATTGTTATTTTTTTATTACAAAACAGTAAAGAACTGAGCATTTCTGCCTTAAATTACCATATTGGTTAAAATGACTGCATGCATGTCTGATACTTTTCGCTGTGACTTTAAATATGTGTGCATTTTCTTGCCTGGCAACTTCCTGCTAACATAAATAAAACTTTCTGATGGCAAAAACATCAATTTACTTCAGATATCTTTAAAAACAGCAGATTCTGTGCTTTTAAATAGCTCCTGTTTGAAAGTGGAAATGAAAGCCAAGACCTTTAAGTGTTTTAGTATCTTAACTACATATTCATAGGCTGTATTACCAAAACAATATTATATTTTTAGGGTAATGGTGTCATTAAATATGATGCCAGACATTCAAAGCTTAATTTTAATATCTCAATAATAGCTTTGAATGTAAATATGTTGTGACAATATGGCGTTTTATATGAGAACGGTCAGAATGAGCAGTATGGTAATTCTAATAGTTACAGAATTCTAGTTCCACTGTTAATATAGCCTACTCTCATGTCTGTGTTAGCACAGAATAAAGCGAGTGCACCGATGCCCATTCTGACCAATCACAGATGTTTCTGCTGAGCTCCTGAACACACAGGCACGCGGCTCATGCTGATCTGCTCTCTCATTGGCTGCAGCTCGTCACTACATCTGACCACACGTGGGGTTGAGTCGGCCGACTGCTCTGGAATATTTAGGATGCTGAATGTTGGATTTCCGTCTGCGAGGTGTCGGCGACGCGTCAGCGAGCCTCAATGATGCGTTGTTCAGTAGT